CTCTCTCTCTCTCTCTCTCTCACCCCCCACCCCGATCGCTCCCGATCGCTCCCGATCGCTCTGCATCACACGACACGCCGCCACAAAACACGAATGCCACGAATACATGAAAACACGTCATCGCAAACGAGCTCGAGTGAAGGAGAAAAGATGACGCCGGAGGAAGAGAGGCATGACCAATCCTTCGAACCGACCACGCGCGACGTTAGTGCCACAAGTCGTACATGGGGTCCGTGTGACAGTCACCGGCTATTCAATGTTCGACCTCCCACGATACGGCCATTGTGGCCAATTTGCATAGTCTGACGATGGGAGATGCACACGGTGCGCCCTCAGAGCTGGACAGTGCCTCATAGGCTCTGAAATCATTGGCAATGTCATTGCGAAGAGGCTACAAGCATTGCAAAGAACGGAGGGGTTGTGGGTAAGCATCAGCGCTTACCTTCTTCCTCGCGTCCTCGCGTGGATGGTGTCCTGTGGGTTGCGTCGACACCTCCCTCGCGTCCTCGTGTGGGTTGTCTCCCATGGTGCTCGCGAGGGCGCCCTCACGATGAAGCCCTGGCCCGCTCAAACGACACATGACGCCCCTCGACAAACAGGCAGGCACCAACGAAGATGGCGGATACAGGACAGATTACAGAAACTAGCGTGTCGAAGAGACGCAGAGGGTATGATTGGCAGCCAATCCAGCAAACGAAGGGAGCGGGAGAGGGAGAGAGTGGCAGGAAAGAGAGAAAAACGAGGAAAGAGTGGCAGGAAAGAGAGAAAAACGGGAAGTGAGGAAGGGGGGAGAACGAGAAAGAACAAACAGACAAAGAAATCACGCAGTATTTACATACAAAGAGGGCAACATCGACCAGCCAAAGCCAGAGATGGGAGTAGGGTTGGAAGGGAGAGGGAGGGAGGTGGGGAATGGGAAAGGAGGAAACAAACAGGGCTTGAAAGTGGTTTGAACGGCAGGATTGTGTCGGATTCGACATATGAAAGATCGAGTACGAGAGTACATCGCTGCTGTCACTCCTCGGCCACGGCGAAATCCTTGTGGTCGATGGTGGCAGATAATCCGCTGCGATGTCAAACTCCTGCTAGTGCTGCCGACGCGCTGACTACTGTTCATAAAGCACATCCAAATTCACAACTACACATTCAGATAGAATGCAAGATACTGTCAACACGACAAACGATATCGACGAGAGCACGTGCACAATAACAACTGCAACGCTGCAGCGCCACGTAGACGGCAAGCGGAGGATTTGGAAAAGTTCGCAGATGACAACGATAATCATCCTCGAACTTACGCTCGCACAGAAGCAAGCGCACTCCACTCACCCCAACAACTCTCCATCAAGAAGAAATAAGAACTCCAGACTCCAGGAAGCAGGGAAGAACTGAAGTTCAGCGCGACGATACTGCTTACACAAACACACAAGTACATGGTCGTCAAAGGAAGACACTCTCAACATCGACAAATGATTTTTTCACAGCAGACAACACACAGCCCCAAACGACCAACATCAAGGCCCTCATGCCCCCAGCCTTACTTCTTACTGACCGGAACGACTCAGCAATCGTCGGACTCGGAACGTCCAATATTGCACAAATAAGGAGAATAAATGTCTAAGAAGATGGTGGTGGTGTTCAAGAACACCATGAATCATTGCGCGCAGCTGCGCACAGGAAGGCGGCTCACTCAAGAAGATCAAGCGCTTGTGAACTTCGTCACAGCCTTCGTCCCCTCTGACACCGCATGCTTCGCTAGCTCCCCTGGCAAGATAAGACGCACAGCAGTCTGAATTTCCCGAGACGTAATCGTTGGCTTCTTGTTGTACCGTGCTAGCCTCGACGACTCCGCCGCCAGCTTCTCGAAAATATCGTTGACGAAGCTGTTCATTATACTCATGGCCTTGCTGGAAATACCGGTGTCGGGATGAACCTGCTTCAGCACCTTATAGATATACATCTTGTACGTCTCGGTCGACTTCTTTATCTTCTTCTTTTTACCACCCTCCTTCACTACCTTCTTCTCCGCCTTCACGGGCTTCTTCTCCGCCTTCTTCGATGCCTCTTTCGGCGCCATCGTGGAAACGAGTCGAACGGGCGAGAAGGTTAAGCGATGAAGGAAACTAGAGAAAGACCGCACTAAGATTGCTTACAACTCGTACTGGAAAATGACTCACATCGAATGCCGTCGGCGCCGACCTGTCAACTTAAGTAGCCCCCGCCGCCGACAAGTTCTCAAGACCTGATTGGTTGTTCGCTTGCACCCGGGATCGATGACGGCCAGTGCCGCAACTTTTTTTTCCTTCTTTTTTTTTAGGCTAATTCCCGTCCCTGAGAAAAGGGCGGGCTGCCAAAAATTAGAGGGTTTTTTTCGAATTGGGACGAGGCCGCTGTGACGTTGCCCGCTGAGAGGCACATGTGGGTCCCGCTGTGACCCGCCGGGGTCTCGGCGCACATTCGCCGGGTAGTTTAGTGTTCTACAACGGTGTGAAGCCAGAAGGCGGGAAACGAATGTTGAATCATCCTCGTATTTCGTTTCGTTCATCTAGTCCGGGGCAAGGTCCCACTTGCGCAAATTAGGAGATGTCGGCCGTTGATCTTTGCTATCTACGGTCAGTATCTCTTAATTCGTGCAAGTGGGACCTAGCACCCGGTCAGGATTCGAGCTCAGGTTCGCCTTTCAACAGTTCATGGAACTTAGGTCTGCCTTTCAACAGTTCGTGGAACTCAGGTCTGCCTTTCAACAGTTCATGGTGTACCACGTCCTAAACCATATCCTTGGGGCCCTGGACGTGTCTGCAGTTATTCTCTGACAAAGAAAACCGGCCTGACCTTGCCCCATGCATTTACTGCAGAGGAAAATCCCTGGTAGTTTACTACCCCCAAAAGAGTAAGTTCATAGAATACTAAAACGCCCTGACAAAGAAAACCTGGCATTACCTTGCCCCGTGCATTTACTGGAGGAAAATCCCCGGCAGTTTACTACCCCAAACGAAATTCATAGAAGTGGAAAATCCCTGGCAGTTACGCCAAACAAAAATCATAGAAGTGGAAAATCCCCAGCAGTTTACTACCCCAAAAAAATTGCATAGAATACTACAACGCCCTGGCAAAGAAAACCTGGCATTGGGCCTTGCTGCACTACTCTTGAATCTTGAAAAATCAAGAGTTCCTCACCGCTGCACTAACTCTTGATGCCGCGTCCTGGATTTCTATTCAAGAGCTGTCAGATTCACTCTCGAAAACGTCGAGAGTGAGTCATCACTGCACTAACTGTGGAAAACTGCTCTTGGTCCGGCGCTTCACGAGGTATCAGAAGTGACCCATCGGACGAGCTCTTGAAGTTTCCACAGTTCCCGCCTGCAGAAGCTTTTTTTTCAAACGAGGCCAACGGGTCCTTTCATGTGGTTTGCAAATTCGAGAGTTGGACTCCGGTCTCGGTGGACAAATCGTCGCTGCCCTGTTGTGTAGCGTCTGTCCGACAGTGGAGAATGCTCACGAGAGTCGAGAGTCTGGAGTAAGTGCAGCGACGACAGCACTCGATGCCAATTCAGGAGTCTGACCGCGCTAGACGAACTCTTGAAAATTTTCATGTGTCTAGCGTAGTGCAGCGAGGCCCATTACCTTGCCCCGTGCATTTACTGAAGAGGAAATCCCCCGGCAGTTTACTACCCCAAAAAAAATTCATAGCAGTGGAAAATCCCCGGCAGTTTTCTACCCCCCAAAAAATACATAGAATACTACAACGCCTGTGCCTCTCCCTCCTTCCCAGCATGACCCCAACATGACGCACCAACCAATCACAAAACGGCAGGCCGCTGGCTCCCCTTCCCAAAAGGCAGGATGTGTAATCCAACCTTTCGTTTGTGAGATTGTCTACGGTTCGCAGTGGTCTCACAGTCACACAGGTAGTAGAAAACTAAACTACAGGGGTACATGTGGGCCGAGACCCCGGACCCACATGCGCCGTGTAGTTGTAGTTTCCCACAGTGTGCGATACTGGGAGGCGGGAAAACAACTTGTGAGCACCACGCTGGTCCGTCGTCTTAGCGCATGTCAGACATCATGGCGTTACGTGAAGGCTGGCAAACGAAGGTTCGATTCCTGGTGTGTTTTCCTTCGGGGGATGGGAGTGGACGGGGTGGGCCTTCAGATGTGACCTCCTGTTTGGCATGCCGTGCGTGACCCTGCGCACAGGAACTGGTCATGCAGGCCGTCAGATCAGGGGTGATTGGCGAGTGGAGGGGGGGAGGGGCATGGGGCGAGGAGGGTTGTTGTCCTCATGGGCCTCACCCGGGACGATGGGCCTCCTCATATGACGAGGATGATGACGGGTTGCCAGGTGCTTGCAACTTTTACGGTAAGGTTTGTGTGTGGTAGTGCCCCATTTGTTTTCACCTGCAAGGTCGTCTATGGGGAATGCTTGTTCTTCGCCATTGTTGTTGCTCGCGGGTGGTAGGAGTGGGGACATTGACATCGTTTCTGGATATGCAAACCAGTCCCCATCTCCCCTCTCCCTTATCATACGGGAATATTGTATGTACCCGATCTTTGCACCAACTTTCATTTATACGCGAAACCCTGTCAAATTTGCATAGCACCCAACTTTTCCCCCGTGCGAAATAGCAGACGTACCCCGTTCTCGTTGTGATAAATTGACCTCACAAAATTGCGGGTGTACCTTTGTCTTATATTGGCAGGCCTTGTATGGTAGATGAGGACCTTTTGCTCATGCCCTCAAATTTAATTTTTTTTTGCCTGGCAACGGTTGTGTTTGAGCGGAATTACGCCTATACGGTTGCAAGGCAAAATAAGCAAGTTGGTTAGTCCATGTCGGTCCTCAATATGCCTATATTTGCATGAGGATATATGTTTTTTTTTTCCATTATGAGAGCCAAGTCCCAGTGACCTGAATTTTAAATTGTTGACTATAGATGACGAAGATCAGTGGTCGGGCATGAAGAATCACCGCAAGTGAGACTTAGCCCCAGGTTGTTGGTAGGGAAGGGCAAAATTCCCTATGGTACCCATCTCTATCATCATCTGTCCAGAAGTATACCGTCGACCGTTTTTGTGGTCTTGGTGTTGAAGCCTGACACTCCACGAGCATGAAGACACAACGACATGGACAACCCCTGACGACCCGTGTGTGTCGTGTTTTTTTTTTTTTTTTTTTTTTTTACAAGAGGGAAAACTTTATTATACAAGTTGGGAATGGGGTCGAGCATCCCTTGACAAAGAACATCCTTATTATGTTAATGTCACAATCAATTGGTTCTCAAAATTGAGTCAGTAATTACAAGCTGGTAAATATGAGCCACAAATGTTAACTTATCTTAAGGTACAGAAAAACCTCAAATCATTCTACAGAGCCGAGCTGAAACTAAACATTGCGGGGTCTTCTCTTTCCGCTCATTCCTTCGAGACGTTCCCTCCTAATACAGCCCCTTCACTTGAACTGCACCTCAACTGGAATAGGGACCAGGTATGTACAGGATAAGGTAGAGGATAATCATGGTTCAACTTCTCATGAGTGCAAAGAGGAAAGGAGGATTAAATAACGAACAAGAAAAAGAAAGAAGTGGAAAAAAGAAAATGGTAGTGAAGGAAAAAATGGACGAGAAGTATTTGAAAGGAAGATGAATGTACGAAAGGGGTACTTGCCACATAGTGTTTAGCTGCTTGCGTTTAATCTTCATCTAGTTGCCATTGTGACCATATGCACCGGAGGCATGCAGGTGTAAGGTTTGTTAGTCACGGGTTACCGAGGAGCTGGAGCATGAGTAAGAATGGGTGTAAAGGAATGGTGGAGAATGAACGAGAGGAGAAGGACAAGGAAAATAAGGAGAAGTGAGGAGGAGGAAGGTAAGAACATTGGAAAGGGATATAAGGTGCTTACCTAGAGGCATATTCATTACCAGAGTCGAGGCAGAGTTAAGGTGATAAAACGAAGGTGTCGATGTGGGGTGGAATGAAAGTGCAGCTATAACATCGGTCGAATGTCGAATGTGATAAGGACACTTCGACTTCTAGATGAGCAGGTGAACCTCCAATGAAACTGTTTGTCATCGCCTCCCACTTATTGTATTTTTTTCTCTTTATGCCTATGATCCACCAAGCAGTCCCTTAGGTCGATATATATATGTATTTCTACTAATATTATTTGCTCATATTAAGCCCCGCCAATTTTATTTTTTTGAAACTACTGTGACATGCTATTTATTAAACTTACCCTACCGATGTCGATTGGAATAAACGTGTAGCCACAACGCTGGTCAGACGCCGAATCTGGTAAATACACTTTGACTTCTAGATGAGTGGGTGAACCTCTGATAAAACAGTTTGTCACTGTTTCCCACTTATTGTCTTATTTTTCCTCTATGCCTATGATCTACCAAACAGTACTCTAGGCCGATATATATATATATATATATATACACAGCCCCTCGTTTGTTGTCCTCTTCTCCCTCTCTGCCTACGGTTTACCGGGCAGTTCTATTTGACGATATATATATATATATATATATATGTATATATATATATGTACAGGGTAACC